GTAATTGAAGACGAGAAAACCTGCTCAAGTGTCTGTGGAGGGCTTTGATGCCGTACACGTCGTCCGGGAAAAGTTCTGCCGCAAGGTTCTGCCGAAATTCGGGGCTTTCCAACCTCCTGTACACATTACCTGGAGAGATAAGTTTGCCATGCTCCCCTGAGATTCGGAATAATCATCTTCCACGCTGGGTTTACATATTGGTTGTGCCAAGGCGAATAGGTTCCCATCCCTCGGGGGTGCAGTACCCAGATGTTTCGAGATATAAAAGCAAGTACCAAAGCCGTATCAATGCCTGGCCTGTTGGACACATTAATCTGGAGAGCACTGAACGCAAGTTCGAAGTCGTCTTCGGTGTCAGACAAGAACGAGAGGGAGGCATTGGTTCTCGTTTTTGTATCTTCGCAACCCTGACCTGTTGTCGACCCTATTCAAATTCAGCAGTAGCAGTAGCAGCTACTACTCGTCCTTGTTTCCCGTGTATTCTAGCCCTTATAATAGAGAAATGGGATGAGAGATCATGCACAGAGCCATTGTCTTGTCTGTGAGAACCTTGCGTCGGAAACCATGGGTTCTCATCACCTTTGTATACAAATCAGAGCATAAGCGCATCAGCCGCTCTAACAAGAGCAAAAGAAAAGAAAGAGTCTTCCATCCGTACACTCAAGAAGGGACAGTCATGGCTGTGGCCGGGCAACTGTCTACCTTCAGCATAAGGGTCTACTTATAATGGCTGCCTTGCTGGTTACATCATGAAGTCGAGGAACCGGAGAATATCATGTGCGTTATTTAGAATTCAACTGACTTGACGACTGTGTGTCGTGCATTCGATCTGGCGCCTACTTACTGAGAACGGGAGCAACAGGAATCAGACTGCCACGTCTTTCTCCGTATTATGTGACTGAGATGATCCACATTCACAAGAGAAGACTCGAACGTGTCTCTGCTTTAGTAGCAGCTTCGCCTCTCAGCCGCCTTACTGATCTGACTGTCAACTTGCTCGATTACTGATCCCACAGCCAAAGATCCGGCTATTGCTATGAGAGTGGAGGCCAAGGCTCTCTCTCACGGCTGAAAACCACAGCTAGTGAGATGAGATGGAACATTTCACTATTAGGACTTGTTTGTTTTCTAGTTGCGCAAATACTTACCTTAGATAACATGAAGGATCAACTACCTGGCCTGCCTTAGATATGATACATGTAGAAGTGCCAACCAATTTCTCAGAATACAAAAGAAATTACCCCGAGATGGTACCTTGAGAATACATGCTACACTTGATCATCTAGAATGCCGGCAAGCATGTCGGCCGCCGGTCTTCAATAGGCAACCACAGGATAGAACTCATCCCCAATCCTCTCTCCCGTCTTAGACGCACCAAACGTCACAAATACCTTCAGCGTTTCCTCCACAAACGCCACAAACTCCTCCATAAACGCATTCCTGGAGCGCTCATACTCTGGCCCCTCCGTGGCCGTGAGATCATTGAACCTCTTGAAAGTGTGCAGGAACTCGATCCACAGCTCCCTCGGCCCGATATTCCACACCTCAGCGGCCGCAAGCCTTGCCCGTCCAAACAAGCTCTCCTGAGCTCCATCGTCGCGGCCGTGGCCGTCGTCTCTCGGACTACCATGGTTCACGATGATCCAACACATGCACGAAAGCACCTCGGCGTGGGAGATGCCCAGGTCCCTCCGGGAATTTTGCGCCCACGCAAGAGGCCCCTCATCGGCTTCGGCTTCGGCACCGGTGCCAAAGCCTTGTCCTGGGAGGTTGAGCTGCTGCATAAACAGCTTGTGCCAAAGAGTTCCGTAAATCTCGAGAAGCGCCTTCCAGTCAGCCTCATGCTCGTTGTGGGCAGAGAAAATCTGTAGCCGCGCCTGGTTGGGATCGCAAGCGACTTCGTTGAGCGAAAGGAAGCACCACTTCGCGCACTGCCTCACCGTGTCTAGAGCACCAGTTCTCTTTTTGTCTTTATGCGCCGGGAGAACCCAGTCATTCAGATCGTAGAGTAGGCGACCGAATTCCGTCTCTTCCAACTGTAGAGAGAACACGTGCTGTCGCTCATAGACGGTGTCCAAGAGATGGAACGCAAATAGATCGACAGAACCGCCTTCCTTGAGCAAGAAGCCCTTCCAGGATCCGAGGAGAATGGACGAAACAGCGGCCGTAAGCATTTGATTAACGGGTTCCTTCAACGTACAGAGATTGCCGTCTCTAATCTCGTGGTTCATGCTCTCCACAACATGTACGCATAGTAGGGACCAAAACCCTACGTGACTGCTGGAGTGCGAGATGCGTGATTCAAGGCACTCCAGAGCCTCCCGGCATTGTTCGACGGTCTCGGCTGACCGGCAAAGGGCGACAAGCCTCTTTGAATCTTCCACGTCGTTGGGGAAGTCCGCGTTATATTTTGGCCAGGCGTAAGTACCACCGGCGACTGCGAAGATCGCGTTCGCGGCTTGGATGTTGGGGGTTTGGAGATCGTACTCGTAGGAGCTCGCCTCGAAAGAGGACGTGAGCCCCAATGCGTCGGTAGCCTCGTCGAAGTGACTGTCGTCTGGGCCGAATTCTTCATCGTCCAGGTCGAAGTCCTCGTTGCTATGTTCGTCTTGAGAAGACATCGTCAGCAATCCCCATCGTCATCAAGCAAGCACGCCATCACAACCTTTGAAATCCTTGCGGTTATACTTTCCGTATCTCCATATGCCTAGCCTGTAGACAAGTTGGCGTTTCCTAACTAAAGTCAGTACCGAAATCGGATTTTCCAGGGAAAACATACGTAACGATGATGCCATGTACGTCTTTTATAAACGTGATCAGCTCCTCAAGAGTCTTCGTTTTATATTCTTTGCGGAGGGTCGGCCTCATGTTCTCCCAGGTTTCCAGGGGAATTCGGGACGCTCGCAAGCTCGCTTCTTTTGCTTCTTTCGCCATATCGAGGCCGTTGGTCATATGGCCTTGAGAATCTGGTGACGCCCAAAAGGTGTTGCCCAGAACTTCGAAGGCGGGCAAATATTCTGATGCCATTTTGTAGAATTTTTGTAGTCTTCAACAACCGAAGATCTTTCCGCAGTAAACACACTGCCTTGGAGTCCTCCTCATGACCCAAGAAAGCCCAACGGGCTTCGCCCCTCGTCGCCTTCTTGAGGCTGGATTTCATATAAGGCTCCCAGTCCGCGGACCAAGTACGTAGCCTTGAATCGAAATTGTAATTTCATAGCACTTCACTCTGTATGCGAAGTCCTTACACGATCCAATCACCGCTCAGCCAAGGGTTGAAAGTGCAAGTTTCCCTGCACCGCCATTGGGTCAGCAATTGACCTGTCATTGTCATTTTGGGACTTGAAATTTCACTTGGGTTTCAACAACACCAATACATCGAAATACCAAAAAGCCGAGGGTCATGCATGCCGCTACATCCAGCCAAGAAAAGTGTAAATCCCATTGACGAAGTCTGGCCACCTGGAGATGATACTAGACCGGCCTAATCAGCCAAACGTTAGACTCCGTACTAGGCTTTTCATATAAAAGTAAGCATCCAGGCTCGGGAACCCCTCAGAGCGGGTCCTCGCTACAGAGTCCAAGTCAGACAACAAGCGAGCCTTCTCAACTTGACGTCTTTTGAACTGCGCCCTCTCTCTGTGTTACCCACTCAGCCACGGAATAAACAGCACTTGCTTTGCCGTGCGCCCATACAGTATTGCTGAGTCCTCGCCAACCAAATTCAAAAGTGGTCTTCTGAGAGAGCAATGCCTAAAAGAGAGATGTCTTACTCCGAGCCCTCGGCGCCCGCAGCCGCGAACATGGGTCGAGTATCGGCACACGGGCGTCGGAGACCGACCCCACTCCGAGAACATCGAAGCCAACACTCGGCGGCAACTTCATTTCATGCGGATCCAATGCATCCTCAATCACAACCGATGCAGCGACATAGGGCAATCGATAGCCCCAAAGAGAAGCCGATCTTCTATGCATACAAGACCAAAAGAGAGGATACTAGCAGTGACATCCTGCCAGGCCAAAGGGCGCAGATGAGTCTAAGTAAATTGAACAAGGCTGGGGACGAATACTTCAGAATCAGGAACAGAGTCCGAAATCCGATACGTGGTGAGCCGTTTTGTGGCTTCTTGCAATAACAAAAGATGGCACAGAGACTGGATTGACGAGAAGGAGTGTCTTACATGACTGGTGTGAAGAAAAAGAGTGTTGTTGTAGAAATTGTAGGATGCCGTGTAGATAGATACCGGAGTAGTATGCTATTCCAATGAAGCTGTTTGCTTTGTCGCCACGCCTCAGGAAATCTTGTAAAAAAAGAAGGAAAAAAAAAGGCCTGAACCATCGAGATGAATTGAACTTGCTCGGAACACAGTACCTTGCTTCGTGGCAGCCAGTCGGTAGTGGCCGTGCCGCAGCTCTCAGATGGATTGATTCGTGGATGCTGCATCAGGCGTGAGGGGGCAGGACACGAGAAGGGCCAGGTGATGCACGTTGGAGTGTGCCCCGCAATTTAGCCCACAGGCCGGAGGGAAAGGTGCGGTGACGTGGGGATGTATCGGCCGGGTAGAGATACCTCGTCCCTGCTCGCGTCGGTGCAGATGTCGGACGGGGATGGGTCCTCTGGAGACTGGAGCTCGACGCCTGCCGCGTATAGTTCCGGAACTTTGCATTGAGGCCATTGCCAAGAATAGAGCAAGTGACATGAGACGTGCAGTCGGCCGATGACTGTTTATTATCTCACGAGACAGCGGTATCCGTGGATTCGTTGGTAATAAAGAAATTATATGTCGAAATCAGGCGAGAAAGCGTTCTTGCCGATCATTTTGCGTATAATAAAGCGTGCCCCGGCATAGCAGGGAGCGGTCTGTGGCCGGCGGATTTAGTTGGGTTTGGTGGTTTGCAAAGTGGTGTGCTGCTGAGCTACCCGCCCACCATAGCTTCCGCCCCCTCGAACGGCGTACCGTTCCATTGGAGAATTGGATGTTGTGCGGGTGGGTGTGCAATCAGTCGCAACTTTCTAGGTAGATGCGATGGAAGGGATAGGCAAAGGCTGCATATGTATGAGGTCGAATTGAGAGGTATTTGGAGAGAAGGAGGAAACGGGGCTCTAGGTGCGCTGGGCAAATGTTTTCATCTGCTCCATCCGTCAGCAGCAAATCAGACCAGGAAGGGAAGCTATGAGGTGATGATGATGAAGGTCCACGGATGGAACGCAGGGGGTTTGTTTCTTGATGGGCCCCAGCGACTTGGGTCCGTATAAAGAGTCGGCATGGGGCACCCTGTGGCTCTTAAAGTCTGGTTGTGGGAGTGATAGATGGGGCGTATATTGTAGAATGCCAACTTGTCTAAGAAATGAGATGTTGGCCTGTGGTTTAGCCAAAGTGGAAGACTATGGGTGGTAAGCATCAGTGCGGTCTGGTACCTACCTAGTGAGCTCGGTATCATGAGGCCTAGTTGAGCAAGTGTAACTGTGTCTCGGCCTCGGTGACGGTTGACGGGCTCCAGCTCCGACCTCAACTAGGCAGACCAACTACAGGTGGAGGTGTTTGGAGATGGCTTGCGCAACAGGTTGCAATGAGGCAAATGCGGGAAGAAATGTCTGACGGTCCATGGAGAAGTTGAGAAGCGGGAAAGAGTGGCTCCTTGGCATTTGGGATCACTGGAGGTTAGGAGCTCTTGCCTCAACTGAAGTCGACGAACTTCAGCGTCAAGTCGCGGCAAGTCGTCATACCTGTGCAAGGATGACCCAATAATGGATAGCCCCACTCCGCCCACACCTGCCAGCCATTGGATCGGACTGAAGTCTGAAGGTGCAGCTGCAAGGTGCCAAGGTACCTCCACACTGGCGGCGTGTGCGTGTGTGTGTGCTCCAGCTTCACCTCATCTCTTTGCTCCAAACGTCTCCTTTTTTGCCTGTTCTTCCTTCCCATGGACCACTGTCCAAGACAAGCGAAAAATCCCTTCAGTTTCAAGCTGGTGCCAGGAAGGAAGCGCAGGCGGGTTTTTCAAGACCAAAGCCTACCTCTTGGCTTCCTGACACAATGTGTGGCTTGCAATGTTCGCCATCTTGGATTGAATCGACCGACCCTTCCCGCTAGCCTCAAGAGTGGCACATTGTTCACAACAGTTTGCTGCTGTGCCACCCCATCAAGGTAGGTACAAGAGCAGAAGATGGTGGATGGTCTCAAACCTTCACCAAGCTCAGAGTACTAGTCAAATGTGCCTGCTCTCGACTATGGTCACGCTCGCTCAGGGCGGCATCGTCAGCTCTGACGACAGCGTCGCTACAAACGTCGTCTCCAACCCCGGACCCAAGGTGTGGCTGATGCGGTCCGGATACAGCAGGAAAGAGCATCGGCCAGACAGGGTTGACAGGTCCAGATCAGCCCGTCTGACTATCCATGCATTGGCTGGCATGGCTGCCGCTCGCAGGCTCCCTGTGTCATGTTGTTGAACCGCAAACCCGCAGGGGCGATCCCGATCCAAAGCGCTTCACGCCTGAGGCCATTTGTTGTTCTTACCCAATGCTTCCTTGAGTTCTTCTTCTACGATACCTCAAGGTAGTGGGACAGCACGGCTACCTGGTACATCATCCTCATGTCTCCAAAAAGGATCGTTGACCGAAGAGGTCACCCATTAACTTGCGTGCTGCACGAGACAGCCAATCGGTAGTAGCACCCTCTAGGCGCCAGCCCGTAGCCTACTTGATCAAGCGAGGCGTCCAAACAAGTCCAAAAAAGCACGCCCAAGCCATTCCATCTCATTTGTCCAATGGTCCATGTTTCCCGCCCCAGCCTGGAATCTGTGAGGTATCTTAGGTACTGAGGTCCCGCAGTTCGGTCCGGAAAGATACCTCCTCCCCGTCCTCCTGCCTCTTGCCTCCACAGCCAGCGCTGGAAGACGAGGACCGCTGCAGCAAGGAAGGAAGGAACCTCTCTCTGCATCCGCGTTAGTCGTTACACGCTAATGTGCTTGTGGCGAGCTGCTTTCCCCGCAGATTTAACGTCCCATCTACCAACCCCATGCTTCCTGCTTCCTGCTTCCCTCGCTTATAAGCCACCGCTGCCCTCCTCAGCTCAGGCGTTTCTGCTACTTCCAAGCTTCTGCTGTCATCAACAACTTTTTGTGCAACACCAGAAGACTTGCAAATACCGCAAAAAGTATCGTCACTTGGGAGTCAATACCGGAAGACAATCATCGTTCAAGATGCCTACCGCAACAGAGCGCATTCACGCCCGTAAGCTACCATTCCTGCTCGGTGTATGCAACTATTTGTTAGTGACTGACATTTCCTCCAGTGAACCCCTTCTCTAAGAAGGAGTCTCATACTGCCGCCTCCATCACCACCTACAAGGTCTTGACTATTCTGAGTTGGCTCTTGGCTTTCATCGTCACTGTCTACTACACCGTCAATGAGCCCCATGATGGCTTCACGATTCGGAGAAGAATTTGGGATCAAAACTACCTCTACCGCACTGCCTTCACTCTGAACTCCACAATTATCGACATCTACTGGTAATTCCGACTCGTCCTTTCAGGCGCACAACATTTCTAACATCATTCAGGGTCGTTCTCTTCATCCTCCAAATCGGCTATGTCGGACACCTTTTCTCGAGCAATAGCGACTATGTCAACGCCGCCGCCAGCGTCGGATCGCACTTCATCTTCAACAACCTCTTGCACTTCGCCTTTGTCATGTTGTTCGTGCGCTCCCACTTCGGCTGGGCTGAGTTCATCCTGATCGTTAACTTCGCCAACTTGTCGTCGCTCTACTTCCGCCACAACACGTACCCTCGCTTCATCCACTGGCCAGTCGTTTCCGCTCCTCTGGCCTGGACGTTCGTGGCTATTTACTGGAACGGCGCCATCATGGTTCCCCACCCCCACAACCTCGTTGCCCGCATCTTTGGCAACATCTTCGTCTGGTCCATTCTGGTTTACGGAGGTTTCTTCATCGTCACCTACAAGGTAAGAGCGATTCTATGCCCATTGTATTCTGAAATTCACTGACTGATGATGTTTCAGGATTACACCATGGGCTTTTCTCTCAGCGTCTTGTCCGCCGCCCTTGGCGTTGCACAGTTCGGTCGCCAAATCGTCGCCTTCCAGTGGATCTTTGCTTTCACCATCATGGCTGTGTTGTTCGTTTCGACTCTCGTCATTGCCTACCCGGCTGCGACCGGCAAAGACTACCCCTGGAGAAGCCGCACTGCCGACTCGGAGCGCGCTCCCCTTCTTGCTGATGACCAGTAAATGTCATTATATCCGCATTGGAGGCTCGAGATTAAAGTCTGCGCAATGGCGTGTACTCGCGACAGAAGCATCCCTCACTACACGAGGGGAGAAGGTCGAGCTGAAGTGTGACTAGAAGCCGCCCATGGCAGAGTCATGGTTGTCAGAAAGTTGTTTTCGTTCCGAGATTGCTGCGACAACTGATTTGTTTTCGGTATGGAATGTACATGGCATTTTTTATGGCCATGCATGCGAAGGAGAGCACAATAATTCCCCATGTTGTTTGTTATACGGCTGAAGGTAGGAAAGAGAGGCCGGGGAGGAATGACGTAGCTACGGTCTTATCATTATCCTTATCGTTCCCGAGCTTTGTTTATCGGTTCGAACTAAGCTAAGGTTGTAGCGAGGTACCTAGCTCAGAGCTGAAGGTGGAACGACTTTAGGTACCTCCAACCCCCCTGCAGTGAATCTATCAATTGCCATTGTTGCAGCTTGAGATCACGGATACCAATTGAAGATCCCCACCTGTTTTTGATACCCAAAACTGTTCATCATGCTGCCGCCCAGAGGGTTTCCTTTCCCTTTACAACTAGGGACTGACTTATGTCAAATCTCACGTATCTACCGGATTCTGGCCAGCGACAAGAAATCCAGCTTTCTCCGTCGCATCCTCACCGAGAATGAGCGCCTCGCAATCCCTGCCAACTTGATGTTGGCTAATGTCTCAGCGACGCCGACCGCGATTTCCAAAGACGACGACTTCCAGGCATTGAAGAAGCGTAACCCGCTGCTTTGGAAGAAGGCTAGCTTCATAGCTGGCAGGTAAGCTCTATTCCCGGAATTCACCTCTCTCTCCTCGGGTCAATTGAGAGGGTGCAAAAAGCTCACAAGTTTCAGATTCGCAGCCAAGGAAGCCACATTCAAAGCCCACCCCACGAGAAACCTATCATGGCACGACATCACCATCGTCCGGAAGCGATTCGAGAAGCTACAGGATACTGAAGAGCTGAGAAAGACCAAGGGCCAGGGAGCGGAGAACAAGCAGGTGGAGGAGCCGAAAGAACTCGAGGGCAGTGAGGCGGCAACCACATCCGCCAACGGAAGCGGTCCGCCCGTCGCCATCGTGCGCGGCACACACGACGACATGCCAGGGCAGGAGGTGCTGGTCTCCATCAGCCACGACGGCGACTACGCCACGGCCGTGTGTCTGGCCTTCCAAGGCGTGGCAGGCGTGGAGGGCCAAGGCCGAAGCGCAAAGGAAGACTAATGTTTTAGTAGGGCCGGAGAAGACGGGCTTTCAAAGATGGGGAGGAAGGCGGCTGAGAAGACGAATCAGGTTGAGAGGAAGGCCGAGGACAAGGCTGAGGACAAGGCTGCTGAGGAAAGTGAGAAGACTACTGAAGATGCCGCTGAGAAGGATGATACCGTTAAGCAGATTCACGACGTTACGATTTGAGAGGGGCAATGAGGAGAGAGAGATTCCCTGGGTGAAGAGATGGAAAGAAAAAAAGAAAGAAACAAAAGTGTATTTGTAGAAGGACATGTCATGGGATTAGATGTAGTTGTAGGCAAGTTCGTACCATAGGCTCTCATCCCATGACATTGTAAATATAAAGACTCAAGGCAGTCGCTTGCCATTCTTTGCTCTCGCTTTGCATATTGAATATGGGCCGACTTGTCCATGTTGCCTGCCTACCCGCGCGACTCCTCTCCCACATCATGCCAAACAGTCTTGGGGGGGTTCGCTTGAGACCGCTGCACTTTGCCTTACCATCTTTCCTACCCGCTACCGTCGCCTGTCCATCTTTCACTTCTTCGCTTGGGTTTCTTCTTTCTTTTTCTTCTTTCTTCCCCAACTTCTTCTTCTTGTTCTTTCCCGTCCGCGCAGGGCGCTTTCAAGAATGAAAAAAAAAATATATATATATATACCAACCACGCACGACACGACCTTCCGCCAGTGGACCTCTGTAAACCACAGCCAGAAAACCTCATCAGCAAAACGAACTTGGACTCCAAAAAGCCCCACTGAGCCCACTACCTTACAGCAGGACAAGCCCCGCGCCAAACCCGCCCGCGAGCGCAGCGGACTCAAAGGGAAAGACAGGGGGACAAGCACTCCACTAAACTGCGCACGCGCACAACACGGAGACAGCAAACCGCTTACCATTCCAAACGATTCATAGGCCCCAACTTCTGCCCCTCGCTTCAACAAGAAATAAGATCCTGGCAGGCCGGCTGGCCTAATGGCTAAGGCGTCGGATTCCTATGAGGAATACAAACTCATCCGAAGATTCTGGGTTCGAGTCCCAGGTTGGTCGTCGGTAATCTGAACACAGATTACGAGTAATCAATCATTTGACTTTTTTTGTTTTTGTTTTTGTTTTTCCCCTTCTTAATCTTCAACAAAATTGACCTTTTCATTAACTGCAACGGTATTCCTTGACCTTTTTTCTTTCTTTATCCGCGTCGTCTTCCGAAGGGTACATGCATGCATCACTATACTCTCTTCTCTTCGCAATCCAGGGTAGTTAGTCACTTTATCTCTCGACATGTGAACTAGGTACTGCAACTTGAGCTTCGCGCACCTCTATTGATATTTCTACATAATTGTTCAAGGACTGCAACCGTCGCTTTCAGTGGAGTCGTTGCGAAGTGAATAACTAATCAGGCAAATCGCGGCTTCAAAGTACAAATTGATCAATTACCGACGAAACTCGAGTCTTCACGCATTCTGTCAACCAAGCCATCACAAGAAGGACATACAGCTCGCCCAGTATAAGGGAAAACAACAAGAAATATAGGGTATCAGTGTATAAGTAATATCTGTAACATCAACGCAGTCCACTCCAATCCTCAATGATTTCCACGCCCATTTTTCCGCCGAGTTCTTCTCGAGCAAGGAAAAATCGGCAATGATGCCACACACTCTTTACCACTCGCAATCAAGACGGGACTCTCTGCCCACTCTCTCTTGACACAAAAGAAAAAGAAGCAATTCCTGTAATCAGGGAATTGTCAACGTCCTCTATCTATCCTCTTCCACATACCCTCACTCTCTTAGGCGTAGCTCACTAGGCCTCAACCATGAGCTGCTCCCCTTCCTCCAACAACTCCGTGACCTTCTTCAAGTTACCAATAAGGCTACGTCCAAGACCGACCAGGAGCAGCTTCTCTGCGTTGGCGGGCAGGCCGAGGTACGTAGGCGGCTCGCGCTCCGGTAGCTTGTGGATCCAGGCCATAAAGTCCGACAGAGAGGTACCCGACGGTACAACGAGGCTGCCCTCCTGGTTCTCCGTGCCTTCGACAAGCTTGTGTCCGACGTCGTAGGCAGACGGCGTCAGGAACGAGTGCACCAGCTGGTTCAGCTGCTTGAAATCTCCCTCGTTATCAATCTTGCCACCATAGGTTTCCGTGACGAGGTAGCGGATCATCTCCCAAGGGATGCTCTGAGGTGCAATATTCGTGCGGGTGCCGGCAGCGTTTTCGATCCAAGTGTCAATGATGAATGCCGAGCATTCGTACTGAGCAAATTAGCTTGTGTCTACTTCGAATGTGCTCTTGGATATTAAACTTACGTCACTGTCATTGAACTCCCAGAAGCCCTTCCATCCCAAGCTTGGGGCGTAGCGTAGACGCTCTTGGACGACTGCATGCAAGAAGGCAAGCAGCAGATACAATCTCGTGCGCTCCACAGGTGCCTTGGCGCCTCTCGTAGACAAGGAAGACATGGAGTCCTTCATGTTGGCGCGCACACCGGCGGGCTGCTCGTACATGAGGACTCTGGAGGCCCGCAGCAAGTTGACGGGAATCTTGGGACTCGACTCCATTGACAGGAAAAGGCGGAACTCGGAGTGGGGGTTGAGTGACTCCATGCGCTTCTCGAGACTCTGCAGCCATGTAGGTGCGAGATGTACGTTCTTGACCAAGACCCAGTTGCCCAACTGCGCGGCGTTGTTGATGGCCTTGTCGGCACTCGCGAGACCCTCGTTGGAACCCATGGCAATATTGGTGCACTTGACGCGAAGCCTCTCGACAAGGTTGTCCACCTTGTAACTGGCATCGAAACCAGGGCTAGAGACCAGAGAAATCGGTCTAGTGGCGGGAACCTGGCTAACCGTCTCCTTGAGATCCTCGACAACATCAAATGTGTCTGATCCAAACACCAGAGTAACAAATCGCTCGGCAGCGGGGACGAAGCGATCGAGACGGAAGAGCTTGACAAGGAGCAGAGATTGCAGAGCCTGGTCAAAGGCCTCCGTGCTGTCGTCCCAGATCTGGGGAACAAAGTTCTCGGCAAGCTCCTCAGCCAGGAACTTGTCCCAGTCGGCAGACGAGACAGCGTCAAGCTTGTCCTTGAGCACGCTCATGCGACCAGCACGAGTGAAAGCCTCTTCCTTGGCATCCTTGTCGGTAGAGAGATCCTTGCCTTCCACGCGATCATCAAGGATGATATCGATCAGCGTCTTGTCCATCTTGTAGGGCGAAGCTTGCGCAAGCAGCATGGCCAGCGTGATCCGATCCTTTTGGAGCAGGCCAAGCGCAGTCCGCTTGAAGGCGGTGATGAACAGATCCTTGACAATGATGTCTCGCCGAATGTTGTGGTTCGTCTCGTTGGCGAGGTTCTTGTTGCCATGCAGAACAGAGTGGAAGATATCGAGGAAGTACTGAAGCGAGAATTGGTAGAAATGGTTGAGGTAGTGGAGCTGCTCCAGCACAGCAAACACAGTACTGCAAGAGCGGGCAATGATGCTGTACTGCTGGGTAATCTCTTCGACTTCTGCCATGACGCCCTCGGTGTTGCTCATCTTGTCTGAAATCTCCGCAGCCTCCGTCTTCAATGTCTCCAGGGTCTCAATGACGTTGTCGTCATCGAGGATGTTTCCGCGGGACTCGTTGAGAGCTTGCAAAAGACGCTTCTCCAACTGTCGCAGATGAATCTTGAACTCTCCCTGAAGCTTGATGAGGTTGGATCGCCGCTCATCGACATCAGGTCTCTCCGACTTCAGAACGTCATTAAGGGACTGAGTCTGGAGACTGCTCTGGGTGACCGTGAAATTGACAAATGTGGTTCGAGAGCAGATATCGGGAGCAAAGGTTGCCGATGGGTCACGGGTTGACAAATAGATCTTGAAGGATGGCGAGAAATCGATCTGCTGCTTTCCAAGCTGGATGAGGACACGGCCACCAGTCTTCTGGTATTCCTTGTTGAGGACGTGGTTGAGGATGGGATCGAGGTATTCGGCATCCTGGATGAGGATGGGGTTACCGAAACGAAGGGAACTCTCCAATTGCTTGGTGAACGAGTCATCCAAGAAACTGGTGACTGTCAAGCGACGGTCCTTGCTCTCCTTTTGCAAGAATTCGGTGACTCTGCCGGAAGGATCGATGATGAGAGGGTAGCGGTTGAATCGCTTGAGAACGATGGCGTTCTCCGTGCACAGATCGTCAACCGGCAGGCTGTTCTCCTGCCAGCTGAGACGCTCATCAGCAGTCGATAGGTACTCGGTGACTGGGTTGTGTTGCTTGTATAGTACACCAGATAGCTGCAGCTGGTGCAACCAGTCATCCATCATGGACTTTCGGAAAGTTTGATCGTAAAGACCACTGTAAGCGAGGAAGGCAGCCGCGACGAGGACATCGCCAACGAGCGTGCTGATCTGGGTCTCGAAAGACTTGCTGCCCTCCTCCCAACGGACTCTCTCAGACGACAGACTATCGAGCAACTTGACACTCCTGTCGACCTTGAACTGGACCTTGGACATCTCAGACTTGATGGCTTGCGTCTCGCTAATGAGCGCAGCGTACTCCGTCTTGTACTGGGCGATGCTAGACTCGAGGGTGTTGATAGTGTTCTCAACAGCCTTGGCCTCCGCCTTGGTTTGCAGAGCTGTCTCCTCAAGCGCATCGACTTCGTCCCTCAGAGGACCAACACGATCGAGAATTTCAGAGTACAGGACCTGTGCCTCAACCCATTGTACCAAAGGACCACAGGCCTTACTGGCGCGGTTGACCTTGTCGAAAGTGAATTCGGGGATCGACAAGAAGTCATTGCGCATCTTGGTACGCAGAGCCTTGGTCATTTGGCGTTCATTGTCAAAATTGACAATGCTGGCAATGAAGTCGTCGCGACGGATAATACCTTGGATCGTTCTCCAGTCGTTGACCTTATGACCGAGCAGGGCACAGACAGACTCGAGAGCCAATCTGACACCCTGGGGCGGGTTACCCATGGATCGGACTTCGGTAAGATGTTGACGCTTGATGTTGCTAACACTGGCCTTGGCCTCTTCAACGGCGGGTTCAGCCTTGGCGAGGTCTTCCAACACAACTGTTCTTCGCGAGGCCACCTCAGCTTCTTGTTTCTCGAGTGCGACCTGAATCTCCAGTGAGGTGTTCTTTCTCTGTTCGGCCTCTCTCTGGTCTGCAACCATGCGCTGCAGTTTTTCGTTGGCCTCGGCGTCCTTCTTCTCGAGCTGAGACTTCTTCTCGGCAAGGCTGACCCTCAGATCACGAACCTTGTCAACAGTGTCTCTAAGCTTCTCGAGACCAACGTTGA